ATATCATTGATTTCCAGGGTGTGGGAGCAGCCTTCCAGAAAAATGCCTTGCCTCCTAATAAAAAGTCAGTCTCTGTTATAAACCCCATCACTTATCACTTTTTGCTGCTTTGGGATAAACTGAAATCCCGCTATCTTCTACAATCATAACATAATCCCCTGCTCTCATATCTCCGAAACCCAGCCTTTCCCCCGGCTTGGTCTTCTCCACACGTATTCAAACACTGGGTCTCCGCCAACCTTATCCTGGCCCATCACTTCATGCTTAGGAACAAATTTAAACCCTTTACCTCACTACGCGAAACCTATGAACTCCCAGCTTCTGAAATATTTTAGATACCTACAATTGAAACATTTCTACGCTCCATACACCATAGCAACCAGTCAAATGAACACCATGTCCCCCTTGTCACAAAGACCCCCATAGATGAGGCCTCATTTCATATTTGTACTCCCTCCTCACAACCTCGATCACTACGTCACCTCCCTCATACATACGCAAATGGGAAACGGACCTTAGCCGGCAACTAGACCCCTCTTACTGGGACCATATCTGGTCCAATTCTAAATCGTCATCACAAAATATTGTAGCCCTAGAAACCAACTACAAAGTCCTGACTTGTTGGTACCTGGTCCCAGCAAGAATTGCGACGTATACCCCTAATTACCCCTCCAGTTGCTTTAGAGGCTATGTAAACCTGGGTACACATTTCAATATATGGTGGGACTGTCCAATCGACCAAGTCTTCTGGGTGGACGTCTTTAGCATACTATCTAAACTTAGCGCAAAAACTCTCCAACTGAACCCGACCACTGCGCTGCTCAAGCTACGCCCCCCTGGCATCACACACTCACAATTCAAACTTATCCTACAAGTCACTACAGCAGCCAAGCAGGTCATAGCTAAATCTTGGAAATCCCCCTCACTATGCATTGCAGTAGTTAAAAAATAAAGTTACCCAGGCTATGAGTCACGACAAAGTAGAAACCACAATTCTAGATACCATCCCTAAATTCAAGAATGTTTAGAACCCCTGGGTAGCACACTTCCTCCCGCCAAACTTTGATGACTCACTTCTAAACCCGTAATGAATATTCCATGCTACTCTGGTACCACTCCCTATCATTCCCACATATTCCTCCATTTACTGCCGCTAACTGTGGAGTCACCTACCCCCTCTTACCCCTCCTCACTCTTCCTCTGACCATCCCAACCCCCCCTTTTTTTTTTTTTCCCCCTTTTTTATTATTTTCTCCCCCTGACCATTCAGTATAACTCTACTATGTTATTATTCCCCTATGCTACACTGGGGAGCGTGCATATCTATTTGTCAAAACTTTGTATGCACCTAAATTAATGGCTTCTCTCATCTTCCACCCCCTAAAACTTTTTCTTGCTTTGTCAAACCTACCGTCCCTCTCCTCCACCCTTCCTGTACAGATTCTGTTGTCATTGATGCCTACTTCTGCAATTTTCTGTATAAGAAACGTATATCCCCATTGTCCCTTCTTTTCCTCCCTGTTTAAAAAACAATAAAATATTTGAACAAGAAAAAGTCAGTCTCTATACAATAAATAAATAATGCTGGCAGTCAATCCCTATCCCAATGTACACCTCAACAACACAGTGGCTAAATGGTTAGCACTTCTACCTGGCAGTACTAGGGTTTGAATCTCAACCACAGCACCACCTGCCTGGAGTTTGCATGTTCTCCCTGTGTCTGTGTAGGTTTCCTCTGGGTACTTCAGTTTCCTCCCACACTCCAAAGACATGCTGGTATGTTAATTGGATCCTTCTAAACTGGCCCTAGTATATGAATGTAAGTTAGGAATCTTATATTGTACACCCCTTGAGGGTTAGGGATTGATGTGAATGTACAATATATATACAGTTGTGCTCAAAAGTTTGCATGCCCTGGCAGAAATTGTGAAATTTTGGCATTGATTTTGAAAATATGACTGATCATGCCAAAAAAAATGCTCTTTTATTGAAGGATGATGATCATATGAAGCCATTTATTATCAAATAGTTGTTTGGCTCCTTTTTAAATCATAATGAAAACAGAAATCACCCAAATGGCCCGGATCAAAAGTTTACATACCCTGGAATGTTTGGCCTTGGTACAGACACACAAGGTGACACATACGGGTTACAATGCCAATTAGAGGTTAATGTCCCACATCTGTGGCTTTTTAAATTGCAATTATTGTCAGTGTGTAAATAGTCAATGAGTTTGTTAGCTCTTATGTGGAAGCACTGACTAGGCTAGATACTGAGCCATGGGGATCAGAAAAGAACTGTCAAAAGTCCTGCGTAACAAGGTAATGGAACTTTATAAAGATGGAAAAGAACATAACAAGATGTCCAAAGCCTTGAATATGTCGTTATCACTTCCACTAAGAAGTAGAAAATTCTGGGACCTCTTGATGCCAAGCCAAGTACAGGTAGACCAAGAAAGATTGCAGCCACAACTGCCAGAAGAATTGTTTGGGATACAATGAGAAACCCATAGGTAACCACATGAAAAATACAGGCTGCTCTTGAAAAACACAGTGTGGTTGTTTTGTGGTTTGACAATATGATGACACTTGAACAAAAATGAGCTGCATGGTCGAGGTGCCAGAAAGAAGCCTTTACTGCATCAATGACACAAAAAGGCCCGGCTAGGCATGTCAAGGTGTTGTCAGGCATATTGTAACTGGGATTTTTTGTGGCATTGGTATAGTAAAAGCTTCTTTCTGACACCTCGACCAAACAGCTCATTTTTGTTCAAGTATCACCGTATTGTACTCCTTAAAAACAACCACACCATCTTTATTTGATAATAAATGGCTTCATATGATCATCATCATTCAATAAAAGAGCATTTTTTGGCATGATCAGTCATATTTTCAATAACCATGCCAAAATTTCACAATTTCTGCCAGGGTATGCAAACTTTTGAGCACAACTGTATATGTAAAGAGTTGTGTAAATTGACGGTGCTATATAAGTACCTGAAATAAATATAACTATAATAATCCTCCCCAAGTTGGGGTGATCATATACAAGCAATAATGTCAAACACTTTACTCACAGCCCAAATTGTCTCTTCAATTTGCTAAAGGCAAATCAGCAGTTCACCTTGTAAGGGAAGTTGCGCTTTGCAAGGGAATTTGCCCCAAGGTTTAATGAAAGTGATGAAGCTCTGCTGACTTCCATCATCCAATCATGTGCAAGCAACAATGCAGTTTTTTTTAAATTTCCTTGCACGTGATTGGATATTCTTTTTACTGTGTTTACTAAACGCTGGGGGAAATTCCTTTGCAAAGTGTAACTTCTCTTGCAAAGTGAACAACCAATTTACCTTTAGTAAATCAACCCCAATGACACTGCAAATCCTTTATTCCATACACTTGCAGATTACTATAGTAGACTAATTAAAATCAATATAATTTGTAATTCCTTGAACAGAGTTTAAGACATTTGGCGTGCCAGTGAAATAGTCATATAATAAATGATGTTTCTTCAGATTTTATATCCGCCCCAACCCTGCACTATCAGATTTAGGATCTGCCCCAATGCATGCGGCATCTGATCTTGGATCCTCCTCAATGCATGAAGCATCCGACTTTGGATCTGCCTCACTGCATGCACCATCAGACCTCAGATCAAGCCCAATGCATGCACATCAGACCTCAGATCAGGCCAATGCATGTACCATCAGACCTCAGATCAGCCCCAATGCATGCACCATCAGACCTCAGATCAGCCCCAGTGCATGCACATCAGACCTCAGATCAGACCAATGCATGTACCATCAGACCTCAGATCAGCCCCAATGCATGCACCATCAGACCTCAGATCAGCCCCAGTGCATGCACCATAAGACCTCAGATCAACCCCAATGCATGCACATCAGACCTCAGATCAGGCCAATGCATGTACCATCGGACCTCAGATCAGCCCCAATGCATGCACATCAGACCTCAGATCAGGTCAATGCATGTACCATCAGACCTCAGATCAGCCCCAATGCATGCACCATAAGACCTCAGATCAATCCCAATGCATGCACATCAGACCTCAGATCAGGTCAATGCATGTACCATCAGACCTCAGATCAGCCCCAATGCATGCACCATAAGACCTCAGATCAATCCCAATGCATGCACATCAGACCTCAGATCAGGTCAATGCATGTACCATCAGACCTCAGATCAGCCCCAATGCATGCACCATAAGACCTCAGATCAACCCCAATGCATGCACATCAGGCCTCAGATCAGGCCAATGCATATACCATCAGACCTCAGATCAGCCCCAATGTATGCACCGTCAGATCTCAGATCAACCCCAATGTATGCACCGTCAGATCTCAGATCAACCCCAATGCATACACATCAGACCTCAGATCAGCCCCAATGTATGCACCGTCAGATCTTAGATCAACCCCAATGCATACGCATCAGACCTCAGATCAGCCCAATGTATGCACCATCAGAACTCAGGTTAGCCCCAATACATGCACTTTCAGACTTCAGATCAATGCACATAAAGACCTCAAATCAGCTCCAAACCCTGCACCTTCAGAATATAGGGGTTTTACATAAATGCTACAGACGTTCCAACAAGAGGTGGAAGAGTTTAGGCAATTGGACTTCTTTTGCCTTCAATGTCACTGGTATTAGGTGGTTGGGCCATGTGCAGGCCATGCTTTGTAATGGGTAGCCCAGTGAACTATCAATTATAGCCCATAGCCTATGGGAGTAAAACTTCAAGTGCAGTGAAAAAGGCACCACATGCCTGCCTGGACCAGATTATGTTTTAACTGATATACAGCAAATTAGGAAATGTTATTATCAATGCTATTGTTTAGTGGACTTAGATTATTACCATATTATTAGAATTAGTGTTAATGGAAAGTTCTGTGTTTTGGAATTACAGCCATTCTTAGGAGCGGAGAATGTTTCAATGTGGATGTGAAGAATGGATTATCATTTAGTGGTTCTGTGGATGACATGTTTGGATATACTGTTCAGCAATTCGAAAATGAGGAAGGAAAATGGTAAAGTAGTCTTACACTGTGTCAATTTTTTTTAGTGCAATTAACAGTATTTTTAGATAGATGAATGTGATCAGCTAAATTAAAATCATCATATCAATCTCTTTTATATTTGAAACTTCCTTAAATGCAGGGCTCTCCAAACTGATGACCATTGGTTACATCTATGATTCAATCCCCCCTCCCCATGTCCTCCATGTAACAGGGGACACCGATGTAAAATGGATTTTGATGGGTGTCCTGATGCAATGGGGACTCTCTGATCTAAGGGAGACTCTGATGCATAACTCGATGGTTCTCAGTCCACCCCCACCCTCCCCCCAGTTTAAATCTGGTGATTAGGGGTTTGCAAGAGGCTGATACCAAGTTTTGATACCAAACTCAGATACTTACATCTAGAAAATATATTAAATGCTGTATTAAAGTGTTACTAAACAGCAGTAAAATCAGTCTGTATATGCAGTAAAGCACACTTGTTATACTCATTGTGGAACCTAAGGTGTTAATCCTCTGCATTGTCTAAAAATGCTTTTTGATCCTGTCTTCTCTGATCCTTCCATTCTTCTACTGTCGCCAATCCATCTGCTGATAGTACAGAGCTCTAGGAGTCACTTTGCACATGCTTAGTTTAGTGTGTATGGCTAGAGAGTTTTTTTTTTTCTTTGGGCGGATGCTTGTGATCAGCACAGGGCCAATCGGCACTGCCCAGACAGAGGATCAGGGGTTATGCAGCCTCATAGGACAGTCAGAGGACAATGAAAACTTCTACAAGATTAACCAGTGCTTGGCTGGACACTGATAGAAGTCACAAGACTGCTGTCAGGGCTCCAGGTATGACCAGAGGTGTGTGGACTGACACAGGGAAACGCAGACTTCAGGTATAGTGTGTAAATAAGATTATTTATTAAGGACAACATAAACATAAACGCAGTGCAACAACCAAATGCAAAGCTAACACAAATATATACAATAAGGTGAAACGAACCCCAACCTAAACTGATATATAGGAAGCACAACGTAGTCAGGCAGTCCGGGTCAATAACTGTCGGGTCAGTATGGTACTAGGCAGCAGGCAGAAGAGTAGTCAGGTCACTCGCCGGGGTCAGGAACAGGATTTCAGATCAAGTAGGGATGTCCACGAGAGTAGTCAAACAAGCCAGGAATCAAGCAGGAGAAGTCAGCAGAGGTCAGGATCAGGCAGGGTCGGCAACAAGTCAGACAGGAACAGGAACAGGAACACAGGATACAAGGTACAGGGGCCCATGGAAAGCACACACCAAGGCCTTGACTGTGAGTCTGGCCATTCCTTAAATACAACCCCTGCAATCAGCTTCAGGTGTTTGGCTGATTGCAGGGGTGAGTCTCTGATTGCTGAGAGTACCCGCTGGCCAGCCCTGGTACTGCAGCCCACAAGGCAGGTGAGTCCCACCATTATTGGCAAGTCCATTCCTGACAACTGCTATATACTGCTGATGAGAAAAGTTATTTAGTAGTTTGTTTACTAAAATAATTGCATTTCCATGTTCCGTGTCTGTGGGAGACCAGATATAGCGAATGTAGGGTCCTGGTTTAGTAACACTTTAATTTGTGACATTTATAACTTCCTGGAATTCAACTTTAATGTATTCTCATAAAAATGGAAAGACATATACGCTTGCAATTACTTATTATAACTTAATATATATTTTTTTGAAAAGTTGTCTTTTGCAAGGCAAATGTAATATCCATTTAGTGGATATTGTTTGTTCCAATGTTGTCAAATCAAATATAATTAGGAATTGTCTACTATTACACTATACATGTTATTGTATGGTTTTCTCTCTCAAATATAAGCGGTACTGAAGGCACATGTTGTTTTTCTCCATTCCCACAACAGCCACAGTTTTACACACTGGGCAAAAATTGGTAAAACTAATGAGTGAATGTCATTTAATTTGCACAGAACAACATGTATGTACTGTTTCACTAGACTAGTAGCCATGCATTTTTCATAACACTGTGATGTGATATAGCAATTTATTTTTCTATACTAACAATACCTTGACTTTTAGGGTGCTCATTGGTTCACCCCTGGAGGGACAACCAGCTCGCAAGACAGGAGATGTGTATAAATGTCCAGCAAATGGTCAATCAAAATGCATTAAGATTAACTTGCCAAGTAAGCTGAACAAGTATTGTTTTCATATTGGATAAATGTATATCTAGAAATTAGTAACTTGGTAAATGCTTTATTAAGTTGCACATATTTTTATTCTTTAACATGGTTGTAAAGGCTCGAGGTTTTTTACCTTCATGCATTCTATGCATGAAGGTAAAAAAACCTCTGTTTACAGCAGTGCCCCCAGCCCCCTCAATATTTACCTTTGAGCCCCATCGATGTGCATGACAGCCTTGGCTGTCCCAGGTCTCTGCCTCCTCATTGGCTGAGACAGCAAGCTGGAGCCATTGGCTCTTGCTGCTGTCAATCACAGCCCATCAGCCAATGAGGGGAGAGGGGGCAGGGCCAAGCCACGGCTCCATGTGTGAATATAAACAATGCATATATCTATAGGGTGGTACTATGGATGAACCATTCCTAAGCTATGCCACATCCTATAAACTATTGAGAGAGAGAGGTTAGGGCTAAATGGACTTTGTAGGCACATATACACCAAGCAGACATGTAATAAAATCTTAATTCTCTTTATTACGAAAATCACAAATACAAAAAGACAAAACAGTATTGAATAAAAGTGATTCCACATATATGCCACAAATTAAAAATAGAAAAAATTGCACCCAGTACATAAATAAATAGATTGAAATCATACAGCTCCTTAACAATTGTATGGACTAAAAGGTACCAGATCACCGATGACTGAGATGACCTTGAACAACTTTTAGAATTGCTTTAAATTCATGCTTGAAGTATGACTCCTCTCTCTATATATAAAAACAAATATTACAACCTTTCACTTATTATTTCTTTCAGAATATACTACCATTGCCAATGTTACGGAGGTGAAAGACAACATGACCATGGGATCAACTTTAGTCATAAATCCTAATGGTGGATTCATGGTAAGACTAGTGGTGGACTAGTGCCTAGTCCTTAACGTATGCCCAAACCGAGAAACAAAGCAAATATATATTGCATATAGAGATTCAGTGGCTGTATTAGCTTCCCTTTTTACACTTTTTTTCCCTTTATATTCAACTGGAGATTCTAAACACTAGTCCATGAGAGTCTCCATGTTGGCGCATACATAGCAATGGATAAATTAAGGGCAGGTGCACCTGGAGGGAGGCCATATCTCCTTGAAAGTGCAGGAACATACCATAAGCCCAGCACAGCACAGCACAATGGGAGTTGAAGGTATCCGGTGTGTCCTTACACCAGTTCCTGGCAGTTCAGTATAACTACCAGTGTGGCCCCCATTATAGCAATGGGCCAATAGTAATTTGTGATAAAAGGGCTTAGCAGCAAGCTCCAACACTACATGAAACAGTTGGATCTTTGCTTGCATGAATCAGCCAGGCTATAGCTGGGACAGAGGGTTTGGGTGGTATGTATGCACAGCTCCTCTTTACCTACAGAAGTCTGTTATTTCTTACCATGACAAAGTCTTGTTAATGCACTCTCTTCTTGAAAAACATGCAAAATTATTAGAAAAATTGCACCTGAAAATGCATAAAATAAACAAGTCAAAATGTAAAAGTGTGAACCAGCCCTAGGGGATTAACTAAACAATGCAAAAGTGAAGTAACGTGAATCCGTGTTCTCTCTTAATCAGTTTCTAGCAGCTTGCAACGCCTGCTGTTCTTTTCCATTAGAAGTCTGGCAGGTTGATAAAATACTGCTCTCAATAGGGGAAAATAGATATGATTTCAGTGCTCCTGGTGTGAACTTTGAAGATTAACTTCTCCACAATGTCTTTAGCTACATACACTATATTGCCAAAAGTATTGGGACGCCTGCCTTTACAAACACATGAACTTTAATGGCATCCCAGCCTTAGTCCGTAGGTTTCAATATTGAGTTGGCCCACCCAGGGGTGGACTGACCATTTGGAAACTAGGGCACTGCCCGAGGGCCCGGGGTCAGTAGGGGGCACCATGAGATGCCCCTGGTACCTTTTTCATAGGCTTTTTTGAGTTTGGGCAAAGACACAGGGGCCCCATGATCCCCTATTGCCTGGGGGCCCCATGAGTTGTCAGTCCGCCCCTGGGCCCACCCTTTGCAGCTATAACAGCTTCAACTCTTCTGGGAATGCTGTCCACAAGGTTTAGGATGGAGTGTGTGTATGGGAATGTCTGGCCATTCTTCCAGAAGCGCATTTGTGAGGTTAGGCACTGATGAGAAGGCCTGGTTCACAGTCTCCGCTTTAATTCATCCCAAAGGAGTTCTATTGGGTTGAAGTCAGGACTCTGTGCAGGCCAGTCAAGTTCCTCCACCCTCAAACTCGCTCATCTGTGTCTTTATAGATCTTGCTTTTGTGTTATGATCCGCCAGGTGGTGCCTCAGGCTGCCAACTGACAGACCTACTCAGAGCGTGGGGTCTAAGCCCGGGCTGTGCTTTCACCAGAGCCCCCTGATGGTGGGGATGGACTTGAAACAGTCCCGGGCCAGGTCACGACCTCCGAGCAGGCCCACCAGTGGCTGAGGAGACCTTTGGGGACAGGTACCGGGAGAGCCAGATATGAAGAGGATGGCGGCCCCAGCAGAGTAGTAACGGATCGTGGGCCCGTGAGGGTAAGCGGGGTACAGAATCGGTAGGCGAAGAGTAGTCGGGTCACACGCAGGGTCAGCAGGGAAGTCAATCCGTAGAATGGTCAGGGCAATCCGGGTCAAAACGCAGGAGCAGGCAGAGTAGTCAGGACAATCCGGGTCAATCACAGGAGCAGGCAGAATAGTCAGGGCAATCCGGGTCAATCACAGGAGCAGGCAGAATAGTCAGGGCAATCCGGGTCAATCACAGGGGCAGGCAGCGTAGTCAGGGTCAATCAGGGTCACTAGACAGGTGCAGGAACTCGGGATCACAGGAAGACCTTGCGGCAATCTGTGACAGTGCAGGGCATCTTTACATAGTGCGCCCTGCACTGTCATTGGCCGGCTAGGACGCGCCCCCGGCTGTCAATGGGCACCTGAGGCGCGCTCCCGGCCCCTACTGCGCATGCCGCGGCGTCCTGTCAGCCGCGGCTCACCGGGACCTAGTGCCTGTGTCCCAGCGCGATCTGCCGCCAATGCGCATGCGCGGGGGACAGAGCCGCGATCGTGGAGCACGGAGCCGCGATCCCTGACATTGCCTCCCCCCCAATGGGCACCCTCCGGGGAGCCCCACTGATCTCTCCACCCCTGCGGGTGAGCACGACAAAATTCCCGGATGAGCCTGGGTGCGTGGACGTTCTGGGCGGGTTCCCATGAGTTCTCCTCAGGGCCATACCCCTTCCATTTTATCAGGAACTGTGTCTGGCCCCCCCCCCTCCAGTCGGCAACTGAGGATAGTCTCCACTTCATATTCCTCCTGGTCACCTATGGTGACTGCCTCGGGAGGTCTGGATTCACGGTCCGGGAAGGGATCCGGTCTGGATTGGCTTCAGGAGAGATACATGGAACACAGGATGTATCTTGAAGGTCTGCGGAAGCTCGAGTTCGTAGGCCACCTCGTTAACTACTCGTTTTTTTTTTTTACCGGAAATGGGCCAATGTACTTGGGTCCCAGCTTCCTTGAAGGACACAGCATCTTCAAGTTGGTTGTTGCTAGCCAAACCTGATCCCCTGGTTGAAGCAGTAATTCTCCTCTTCTCTTTCTGTCGAATGCCCTTTTAACTGTCCTCTTGGGCTTTAGCGATGGCTTCCTGAATTGTCTTGTTATTGACAGAAAAGAAGTTCAAGATGTCTTGAGAGATGCCCTGTACCGGATTCTCAGGCATCAGATCAGGGAGGAATATGGGGTGATACCCATAATTGGAAAAGAACAGGGATTGACCCGTAGCTGAGTGACTCGAGTTGTTGTATGAGAATTCCGCGGAAGGCAGCAACGACAGGCAGTCCATCCTGAAGGTAGGATGTGTAGCACCGTAAGTACTGTTCCAGCGTCTGGTTTGTCCTCTCAGTTTGGCCGTTGGTCTGTGGATGGTAGGCGGATGAAAGAGACAGCTTGATTCCCAGCGATTTACATAAGGCGTTTTCCAGAACCATGGAGGTGAATTGGACCCCCCGATCTGACACTATATCTTCGGGAACACCATGAAGCCTAACCACTTCCCTGATGAAGATCCGTGCCGGTTCTCTGGTGCAGATGGGTCTTCTCCAGGGGCACGAAAATGTGCCATCATTGAGAAGCGGTTGACAATCACCATTATTGCAGTGTAGCCCTGGGATGGTGGAAGTTCGACCACGAATATCCATGGCTATCATTTGCCAGGCCCGCTTGGGTTATGGGTAATGGACGTAACAATCCCCATGCCCTGCTCCTGGAGGGCTTGTTCCTTTGACAGTTGGACAAGTTCGGACGTAATGCTCACAATCCTTTGATCATGTACTGGCCACCAGAACGAGCGCCGTAGTAGATCCAGAGTTTTCGTTACCCCAAAGTGGCCCGCCATTGGATGGTCGTGGCAGTGCCCTAGGACCAACGGTTCGCACTTTTTCTGGGACCATGATCCGGTCTTTCCTTCCAAAATAGCCCACCATGGCTCTGGAGGGGTGACCCAGACGGCAACTGGTAGTCCTACATGAAGCATCAAAGAAGCCGGGGAGCGAAGTTCCGTTTTGTAGAGCGAGGAAACTCCCAGAAGGTAAGATGGTGTCAGGTACCACAAGCGTCGTCGGGGTCCTCAAACATGGGGACAGAGCGTCTGGTTTAGTGTTCTTAGTACCGGGTCGGTACGTTATATGGAATGAGAATCGAGAGAAGAAAAGAGCCCATCTCGCTTGGCGAGGTCTCAGTCGTTTTGGGGCCGTTCTTAAATATTCAAGGTTTTTGTGATCTGTGAATATTAGGATTGGGTGTGTGGCTCCTTCCAGTAAATACCTCCATTCTTCAAGAGCAGTTTTAATGGCCAGGAGCTCCCGATCTCCAATGTCATAGTTACGTTCCGCTGGTGTCAACTTCCTGGAGAAGAACGCCACAGGGTGTCAGTAGTTCCTTGGTACCATCCTTTGGGACAAAACCGCTCCTACCGCATTTTCGGAGGCGTCCACTTCCAAAACATATGGGTAGAGAAGAAGCATCTGGATGACAGAGAATGGGAGCAGAGGTGAACAATTCTTTGAGCTTTTCGAATGCTGTCTGCGCTTCGGGAGTCCACTTAAAGCGGACCCCTTGTTTCGTCAGTTGCGTGATCGGGGAGACCAGACCGGAGAAGTTCCTAATAAACTTCCTGTAAAAGTTTGGAAAAACGATGAAATGCTGTACCCCCCTTTTTGTCGGCGGGTATTGGCCAATCTAAGATCGCCGTGACTTTCTGGGGATCCATCGTGACCCCCGCGGAAGAGAGAACCAGTCCCAAGAACGTGATTTCGTGCTGTTCGAAACAGCACTTTTCTGCCTTCGCGTATAGCCCGTGTTGACGCAACCGTTCTAATACCCGTATCACGTGACCCCGATGAACCTCCAGTGAAGGGGAAAAAATTAGGATGTCATCCAAATAAACCACCACGAAAATATCGAGAAAGTCACGAAAAACATCGTTGATAAAGTGCTGAAAGGTCCCGCCGGAGCATTACAGAGCCCGAACGGCATCACCAAATACTCGTAGCGACCGAATCTCGTACGGAACGCCGTCTTCCACTCATCCCCCTCCCTGATATGGACAAGGTTATAGGCCCCCCGCAGGTCCCTAATTAGTAAATATCGTTGCCGATCTCAATCTCTGGAGGAGCTCGGGGACTAGGGGTAAGGGATAACGATTCTTTAACCGTTATTTTATTCAGGTCACGGTAGTCTAAGTGCAGGGCCGTAACGATTTGTCCTTCTTCTCTACGAAGAATAAACCCGGCCCCGGCTGGGGATGTGGATGGACGAATAAATCCCTTCCGAAGGTTTTCGTCAATGAATTTCCCTCAGTACTCCCGATTCTGTTTCGGACAAGGGAAAGATACGGCTGAATGAGATTTCAGATCTGGGTAGGAGGTCTTGGGGCAGTCGTAGGAACGGTGCGGAGGGAGAACATCAGCTCCTCGCTTACTAAAGACGTCTAAGAAGTCATGGTAGGCCAGAGGAATAACCTGGGATAGATCGGTGTCGCCATCCAAGCACACAGGAGGAACCGGGGAACCACGGATCCTGTGACGTGGCAGTGACTCAAACAATAGGGTGAGCGAAATTGAATTGTTCCCTTTTCCCAGTCAATCCGGGGGTTATGGGCCCTCAGCCAAGGGAGCCCCAGAATGACTGGAAAAAGGGGGGATGCGATGGCATCCAAACGGAGGAACTCCTGGTGATGGTCTGCCATTGTGGTGAAAATGGGTGGTGTCTCCTGGTCCACCACCCCTGATTTTATACGGGACCCATCTGCCAAGAAGATGTTGAACCCCCTTTCTTTGGTCTGGAGAGGGATTTTTTGCCGGTGGGCAAAAGTCAGATCGATGAAGCAACTACAGGCTCCTGAGTCAACGATTGCGGTCACCGTCAATGTTCCTCCGGGGAGCTGTAAAGACACAGGAATGGCCAGGTAACTCGACTGATCATCCCCACCATCAGGGGCTCTGGTGAAAGCACAGCCCGGGCTTAGACCCCACGCTCTGAGTAGGTCTGTCAGTTGGCGCCCCCGGCCCCTACTGCGCATGCATGCGCGGCGTCCTGTCAGCCGCGGCTCGCCGGGACCTAGTGCCTGTGTCCCAGCGCGATCTGCCGCCAATGTGCATGTGCGGAGGACAGAGCCGCGATCCCTGACACTTTGTGCACTGGTGCGCAGTCATGTTGGAACAGGAAAGGGCCATCCCCAAACTGTTCCCACAAAGTTGGGAGCATTGAAATTGTCCAAGATGTCTTGGTATGATATGTGCTTTACACCACTGTATCCGACGCTTTGCATTGCACTTGGTGTTATAAGGCTTGGATGCAGCTGCTCGACCATGAAAACCCATTCCATGAAGCTCTCTACACACTGTTGTTGTGCTAAGGCCTTTGTGTGAAGGCCACATGAAGTTTGGAGGTCTTTAGCTATTGACTCTGCAGACAGATGTTAACTTCTGCGCAATGTGTGCTTCAGCATGCGCTGACCCCACTCTGTAATTTTACGTGGCCCACATTTCATGGCTGAGTTGCTGTTCCCAGTTGCTTCCACTTTGTTATAATACCACTAACAGTTGGCCGTGGAATATTTAGTAGCAAAGAAATTTCACAAATGGACCTATTGCACCTATCACGGTACCATGCCTGAATTCACTGAGCTCCTGAGAGTGACCCATTCTTTCACAAATGTTTGTAGAAGCAGTCTGTTTGCCTAGGTGCTTGATTTTTATACACCTGTGGCCATGGAGGTGATTGGAACACCTGAATCCAATTATTTGGAGGGGTGTCCCAATACGTTTGGCAATATAGTGTAGCTGAATGAGGCCTTGTTTTAAAGTGCTTTCACTGCTTCCTTGAGATATGTAAATATTTTATTGTGCATAGACTGGGCACAGGTTCACATTAGTAGCAACTGATTTAAGAGAAAATATTTAATGTGTATCTATAACTCAAATGTTTTTATAGTTTTGTGTAGAGTATTTAGAGCTTAGAACCACTGCCAGGAATTTTCTGCTAACCATTGTTACTAAGACAAAATGTGATAGGAAAATCTAAAATTTTGAGTTTATCACCAGAAAAGAATAAGACCACATTCACATGACAAGGGTGGCTGCTGGTAAGAATGAGTAGATTCTTGCCGGCAGAATTGTACTCTGTACAAATCAATGGCCAGTACTGCCTCATGGGACAAAGCAGTTACATGAAAATAGAGCCTCTGACGACCCTGTTTGCAGACAGTTTGCATCTGGGGATGATTTATTATAGGGCAGCACAGTGGCTAAATGGTTAGCACTTCCGCCTGGCAGTACCAGAGTTGGTGGTTGAAATCAAAGCCATGGCACCACCTGTCTGAGTTTGCATGTCCTCGCTGTGCCTGTGTGGGTTTCCTCCAGGGACTCTGGTTTTCTCCCACACTCCTAAGACATGCTGGTAGGTTAATTGGATCCTGTCTAAATTGACCCTAGTATGTGTATGAATGTAAGTTAAGGACCTTAGATTGTACACCCCTTGAGGGTTAGAGACTGATGTGAATGTACAATAAACTAACTATACAAGTAAATGTAATAAATGTATTGAGCTCACACAATTGGACAGTTTGTATATGGCTTTAGCACACAGTGCTACCTCCAAGGGTAGGAAAATATCTACCCCCAGCTACCCATGTGAATTTTGTCTAAAGGGCAAAATATGACTTGTTCCAGTGACACTGGAGAGATTTTCTCTCATTTCCTGTTGTGTTTACAGGACTAAAAGTGAAGGACAATCCCCAATAGAACATAGCAAACACAATCCTAAGAGGGTTAACCATTCCCTACTGTATCCAAAAAAAGAAAAAAAAAGTTGTGCTTTAGATATACCTCATACTTTATTAGTTATATTTAGAATGTGTAGGGAATACTTATTTTTGTGAAATATTAAGCCATTTTCTCTGCTCCCCAAGGCATGTGGACCCCTCTATGCATACAGGTGTGGAAGCCTGCATTACACAACTGGAATTTGTTCAAATGTCAGTTCTAAATTTCAAGTTTTAAACTCAATTGCTCCTGGAGTTCAAGGTACAGTACACTCACTACATAATAATGTGGGTTACTTGTGATCTGGTAAAAGTAGTTTCCTATCTAGACTAATTGCCTTAAGGGTAATTCTTTTTTTTATAGTAAACCTTTTCCTTTGCCACCATTTACAGAAAGTTGGGAATTGGAATTAATTTACCCAGACAATAAATAAACCTAAAGGAAAAATCTGATCTGCCTGATAATATAGTGCCATTTTAAGGCAGGGGTTGAATCATCTACATGTGACATTTGTTTTATGAGTACTTCAAAGGTAAGGTGTTCCAGACCTAGCATTGCAATAGTTGCAGGAATGTATAGCCAAGGTCTCTGGTTGTGCCTCCCTGCAGCTATTGTAAGGCTAAACATAGAAATCTCAACCCACTTGCTGCATTACCCAGAATGTAAAATGAGTGAAATATCCAGCAGCAAAATGAGCCCTCACCTAATAATAAACAAAGTCTTTTGACCACAGCTGATGCATAGGAAGGCAAACAAAAACCCAATAAAGCATGGTACAATTTGCTCAAGCAGTGGAAAAATAAATGCTTTCCTGCTCCCCCAGAAATCAATCAGATATTCCATGGATCAACTACGCTTGGTGTTATTACTTATACATGTTAATATCTGGTTATATTTTGTGCAGTTAGGAATGCTTCCAGCCCTTTTTTAACCACTTGCCGCCCTGCCACTGTATAAATACGGCGGCACGGCGGCACTGGCAGGCAAAACCACGTTTTAAAACGTGTGTTTTGTAAACAAATAGGGGGCGCGCGCGAGGCACGCCGCCGCCGCCCTATCTGTCCCGCCGATCACCGCGGCGGATGTCAGTCGCCGGGTCACAGCCGGTCCTTAGCGGCTGTTTCCCAGCGATCGGCGGTAAACAGTGACAGACAGCACAGCTGCAGTAGCTGTGCTGTCTGTCACTTTCTTGTCAGCTCGAGGACGAGCTGATGGAGAAAGAAGAGTTTCTCTCTCTCGATCAGCGGTGTCCAGTGCAGTACACACCCCCGCCCCCTAGTAAAACACTCCCCTCACTCCTATAACCCTTCCCTGCAAAATAAAGTTAACCCCTTCCTCCCCAGTGCCATTAGTACAGTGTCAGTGTTTTTCCTTTTTGCACTGATCACTGTATTAGTGTTTTTGGGGATGTCAGTGACCCCAAGTCAGTACCCCCCAATGTCAGAATGTCCGCCGCAGTCCCGCCATAAGTCGCTGGTCGCTGCCATAATTCACTGATCGCCGCCATTATTAGTATAAAAATAACCCTAAAAATCCCAGTATCTTTCCCGCCATTTGTAAACGCTATAACTTTCACGTAAACCAATTAATTTACACGTATTGGTTTTTTTTTTTAGCAAAGACATGTCGCAGAATGCATTTTGGCAGAAATTTATGACTAAATTTGATTTTTGCATTTTTTTTTTACTAGACATGTTTTATAGCAAAAAGTCCAAAATATTGTTTTTTTTCCTCAAAATTGTCAGCCTTTTTTTTTATAGCGCAAAAAAATAAAAACCGCACAGGCAATCAAATCATACCACCAAAAAAAAGCTCAATTTGTGGGGAAAAAAAAGTATGTAAATTTCATTTATGTACCGAATTACATGACCGCGCAATTGTCCGTTAAACTAGCGCAGTGCTGTATAGCAGAAAAATGGCGTAAATTGCAGTATTTATACCAGTTTGTAGACGCTATAACTTCCACACAAAGCAATCAATATACACTCATTGGGATTTTTTTTAGCAAAAACATGTAGCAGAATACATTTTGGCCTAAATTTATAACCAACTTTGAGTTTACTATATATTTTTTATAGCTGAAAGTAAAAAATATTGTTTTTCTTCAAAATATTTGGCCTTTTTTTGTTTATAGCGTGAAAAATAAAAAGCGCACAGATGATCAAATACCACTGAAAGAAATCTCTATTTGTGTGAAAAAAAGGACGTAAATTTTGTTTGGGTGCAGCATTGCATGACCGCGCAATTATCAGTTGAATTAGTGCAGCGCCGAGTAGTAAAAAGAGGCCTGGTCATTAAGGGGGGGTAAATCCTCTGGAGCTCAAGTGGTTAAAATAATCTACTGAGTCTTTTCCACATTTTCATAGCGAAGAAACCTTTCCGTACTTGGAGGTTAAATTTTGCTTCCTCCAGATGTGAAGAGTGACCTCTTGTCCTTTGAAATGACCTTAACATGAATAACTTTACACCAAGTTTACTATATGGACCACTTAAGTATTTATACATGCTGATCATATCCCACCTCGATTCTTTCCTCTCAAGAAAGAATAAATTCTGTTCAGCTAATCTTTCCTCATAACCGAGCTACTCTATGCCTCCTATCAGTTTGGTTGCCCTTCTCTGCACTCTCCAGTTCTCAGTTATACTTTTCATGAACTGATGACCAAAAACTGAACTGATTTTAAAGATGAGGTCTTACTAATGCTTTGAAGAGTAGCAAAATTATGTATTTCTGGTGTCTTTACCTCTTTTATTACAAGAAAGTATTTAGCTTACTTTAAAAACTGCATGTAGGTGAAGAGATTTTCTATGAGATAGAGAACTGGAGAGCGATACAATCTACTGGCATCAACCTAAAGGTAGCCTTGAGTGGACTTTGTCTTTAATCATTCTCTATGTATTACATATTTATTATGTATTTATTTCTTTATTTATTTATTTCAGGTACTTATATAGCGCTGTCAATTTATGCAGCACTTTACATAAATGTTGTACATATGATGTAACCTACTGTACATTTCTTTACAGAATGTACCACCCAGCTGGATCTGGTGATAGTTCTCGATGGCTCTAACAGTGTTTTTCCTTGGCACAGTGTCAGCACATTTTTAATAAAACTATTGAGCGGAATGGACATCTCTCCTACACAAACTCAAGTAAATATGCTTTATTTAAAATAAATATATATATATATATATATATATAGTGCATTATAATTGTGATAGGCTTAGTTTGTCTGCTAGTTGGTACTGTATAACATTATGGTTGACTGACTTGGTTCTAAACCTTAAACCATTCCTTTATTGTTTTCCCAGGCAGTGCAGAGATCAACACTGCAAAGTGAAACAAAAACGAGAAGCGCACCAACCTTGCGCATTACCTCAGTAACCAAAATATATTAATTAGAAAATGGTACTCACAAACAGCGAATAAAATCAGAGCTCTGATGAAGAAGGTATGGCCTTCGAAAAGCGTCAGCTGTACTGAGTGTCTACCCCCATGATGGGATTTGCGCTGACTCCTTATCTTTGAAGTCCCTTTGAGGACTTACATGCCTGATTTTATTCGCTGTTCGTGAGTACCGTTTTCTAATTAATATATTTTGTTTACTGAGGTAATGCGCACAGTTGGTGCGCTTCTCATTTTTGTTTCACTTTGCAGTATTTGTCGGGCTTTCCCAGCCTTGTTTGGAGCTGCACAACCTTTTATGCACTGGTGGTCGCTTTTTCCAGTTCTGGTTCCATCCATTTGCCACCCGCCTGGGTCCTAGAGCGCAGGAGAAATCGCATCTGGTCTAGTGCAGAGATCAACTCCAGACCTGCCACTTGCATGTAAAAATGGTCAGACTCCACAAAAACCAATGTTGAGCTGAGGATAAATGCTGGACATTAGTAAGTCAAATGACTTACTAACATATTATACTAGGGCCTTAGGCTGCATTCACACTTGAGCGTTTTGTAGCTTGAAGCTCCAAAAAAAGCTCAAACTTAAAAAATTAATTGTTCTCTATGGTGCCTTTTGGCACAATAAGGTGTGAACAGGCACCATAGAGATCAATTGAATTTTTAAGTTTGTGCTTTTTTGGAACTTTGCGCTTCAAGCTACAAAATGCTCAAGTGTGAATGCAGCCTTAAGGTCTCATGCACACTGGGCATCAAAAATGACACAAGGGCGTGTGACTCTATGTTAGCCTATGTGATATAGATATTGTGGCAGACAGTCTGACACTAACTGACACTTTTAACAATTTGTGGGAAACAGTGACAGTAATACAGTGATCAGTGCTAAAAATATACACTGTTGCTGTACTAAAAAATTGGCTGGGAAGGGGTTAAACATTTAGGGTGACCAAAGAGTTAAATGTGTGCCTAACCAGTGTTTTTATGTGTACTATGTGGTGCTTTCACTGAGGGATGTGCTGGTTTTTATTCCCTGTTTTGCAGGGAAAAAAATCCAGAACATCCCCGCTGACAGAATAGAGCTGTGCCTTGTTTACATAGGCAGAGCTCTGTTCTGTCTTTCTCCTCGCTGATCAGCGGTGCTGGCGGTCATCCATTTGCTGGCACCCGCTGATCAACTTGTGTTGCGCCTGCTGCCCTAAAGTGCTAGATCACGTACTGTGCTGCTGTATAACTAGGTTATGTGGTTGGAAAGTGGTTGAAGTATTTAGAAAGCTTACCTTTTAAAACAACCCATTCAGTTTGAAATAGAAATGCAAGGCAAAATATGTTTGTATACATATATACTGTGTGTGTATATATATTTTGTATATATACAGTATGTGTGTGTGTGTATATATATATAATATATAAATATATATATATACACATATACATATATATATATATATATATACATATATACAGTTGCAAGAAAAAGTATGTGAACCCCTTGGGATTACGTGGAGTTTTGCATGAATTGGGCATAAAATGTGCTCTGAACGTCATCTAAGTCACATCAATAGAAGAACACAGTCTGCTGAACATAATACACACAAACATTAGATGTTGCCATGGTTTAATTGCACATAACATGTAAACATTCACAGTGCAGGGAGGAAAAAAGTATGTGTGAACCTTTGGACTTAATAACTGTTTGACCCTCCTTTGGCAGCAATAACCTCAACCAAACGTTTCCTGTAGTTGCAGATCAGACCTGCACAACGATCTGGAGTAATTTTGGACCACTCCTCTTCACAAAACTGTTTCAGTGTAGCAATATTCTTGGGATGTCTGGTGTGAATGGCTCTCTTAAGGTCATGCCACAGCATTTCAATGGGGTTGAGGTCAGGACTCTGACTGGGCCACTCCAGAAGGCGTATTCTGTGCTGTTGCAGCCATTGTTTTGTTGAATTACTTGTATTCTTTGGGTCATTGTCCTGTTCATCATCACCCATTCCTCTGCGGAGCTTCAGTTGGCCGACAGATGGTCGTACGTTTTCCTGCAAAATGTCTTGATAAACTCTGGAATTCAGTTTTCCCATCAATGACAACAATTCGTTCAGGCCCTGAGGCAGCAAAGCAGCCCCAAACCATGATGCTCCCTCCGCCATGTTTCACAGTGGGGATGAGGTTTTTGATGTTGGTGCTGTGCCTTTTTTTCTCCACACATAGTGTTGTGTGTTCTTTCCCAAACAACTCAATCTTGGTTTCATCTGTCCACAGTATATTTTGCCAGAAGTGCTGTGGAACATCCAGGTGCTCTTTTGCAAACTTCAAACGTGCTGCAATATTCTTTTTGGACAGCAATGGCTTCCTCCGTGGTGTCCTCCCATGTACTCCATTCTTGTTTAATGTTTTCCTTATTGTAGATGTGTCAACAAAAATGTTTAGCATGTGCCAGAGATTTCTGTAGGTCTTTAGCTGACACTCTGGGATTCTTCTTTACCTCATGCAGCATTCTGCGCTGTGCTCTTGCAGTCATTTTTACAGGACGACCATGCCTAGGGAGAGTAGCAACAGTGCTAAACTTTCTCCATTTGTAGACAGTCTGTCTTACCGTGGACACATGAACATCAAGGCTTTTGGAGATACTTTTGTAACCCTTTCCAGCTTCATGCAAGTCAACAATTCTTGATCGTAGGTCTTCTGAAAGCTCTTTTCTGCGAGGCATGGTTCACATTAGACAGTGCTTCTTGTATGAAACCAGTAAACCCAAAACAGGTGGGTGTTTTTTAAGGGCAGGACAGCTGTCAGCAACACATCCAATATCATCACACTGATTGGAGTCAAGGTTGGCTCACTCCCTGGCTCCAATTAGCTCTGGGAGAAGTCATTAAGCTAGGGCCTCACATACTTTTTCCTCCCTGCACTGTGAATGTTTACATGTTATGTGCAATTAAACCATGGCAACATCTAATGTTTGTGTAGTATTATGTTCAGCAGACTGTGTTCTTCTATTGTTGTGACTTAGATGACGTTCAGAGCACATTTTATGCCCAATTCATGCAAAACTCCACGTAATCCCAAGGGGTTCACATACTTTTTCTTGCAACTGTATATATATATATATATATATATATATATTTTTTTGGGTTTTTTTTTTTACTTTATATTTATTTATTTTTTAATCTCTTTTTATAAGTGATGACATAATTTCTGTTCTCAGCACCAAAAGAGTGGAGGGGGTGGGGGTGGGGTGGAGACTGAAGGGTGGGGTGTCAGCAGAAGGCAGAGAAATAGCAGAACACTGATCTTCCTAATGAGGATCGGCATGTCAGCACAAGTCTGACCATTGGAAGACAGGCAGCTGTGCTCCCATCAAGATTTTAAACAGCAAAGAAGGGGGACTGGCAGGATCACAAGGTATTTCACACAAAGGAAGAAATACTATGATAACAGGATACTTTTTAACACAAACACATGGTACAACAACCTCATATCAGGAATATAAAGTGTAGGGGTAACAAACACTTTAACATATCACTACGCCAGCTGCCAGTTTAATTGCTCTGTAGTAAGCAAGACTGCTATTCCGTGCATCCTATTCCTAACTTAAGGGCAATCCAAATTAACTACAGTACTTAATATAAAAATATACTGTATATTAATCTAGCAATACACACGGAGAGATGCAGTATATAAAGGAGATAGATGATGGAACCTGGCAACATCCATCTTAAGCTCAAGTAGAGTTTTAGGACCAAAATACTAAGTGAGCGTTTTATTTTTATAGTTGAGATTGCTCACTATGAAGACGCTAAAGTTAAAGAGAGATATATAAAATTAGTGGATGGGTAAACCTACTAGTATCCATCTAAAACTCAAGCATAGTTTTGGGACCCAAGTGTCTTGATCAGTGAATGTTTAACTGAGCTTTCTCTTTTTAAGGTTGGCATTGTTCAGTATGGAGCAAATGTGACTCATGAATTCAATTTGAACACACACTCTACCACAAAGAGTGCGCTAGATGCGGCCAAGAAGATAACACAACTAAAAGGCGATCAGACGCAAACAGCTCATGGTATTGAAACAGCAAGGTATGTGCAGAAAAAAAGCTCTTCTTTGTTTTCTGAGAAAGTATAGAAGATGACTTTCTAAAGGTCTAAGGACCGGCAATACTGTGTTTTTGTTCAACAGTAGTAGCATAGCTTCGATATACAGGATCCTGGCATAGTAGTAATATTAACCTCTTCACACCAACAGTACGGATTTATGCCGCCTCTTAGCAGGTGGGCCCTATCGCTCAGAGGCCACATATACGTGTACCTGAATGTAAACAGAGCTGTGCCGGGAGCACGTGCCCTGTGCACTCCTGGCACAGTTACCGGCGGCTAATGAAAAGCTCCTGATCTCTACTTGCGGTCATGTGACCGCTGTGACAGCCAATCACAGCGGTCACATGATCAGAAACCCCGCCTCCAGTTCTGGGTATCAGAAACCTCTTAAAGGGCCTTGAGGTGCCAGCGTTAAGGGGTTAATCCTATATATTTCAAATGCATCTCACTTTCTTCAACGCAAGCCACCTATAAGCCCCACTCTACCTCTCCAGGTCCCTCATATCATAAATATAAATAAAGGAGGTGCGAGCACCTTAAATAAAATAAACCAAAAAAGCTGCTGTTAACAAAAAGGTAACCAATAGCACCCTAAAACATAGATAATCAGAAATTGGTAAAATCAAAAAGTTCCAATGTAAACAATATATAAAAGTGACTCTCGTGCTTAATGACTCTGGATCCGGTATCAGTGCAGTAGTGGTAATGGTAATGCACACTCACCGGATGCGCATAATTATTGCGCCTTATGTTAAAATCCAGATGTCATCAGACAGGTATTAGGTAGATGGACTTCCCTCTCAGAGATGGTGGGTCGTCAGGTTAGATGTTATGGGGTTGGTAAATATGTTCCTCGTCCTTATAAAGCTCCTTTACATTCAACCTGAAGTAACTCCCTGGATATGCAGATCAACCCTCAGGTATGGCAATCCGTCCTAGAATAGTGGGTCTGCTGGTTTAAAGAGCTCCCCCAGGGGGTAAGGACAAGGAAACTCCCATAGTGTAGTAGTTATAAACAACTTTATTGTGATGCATCATAAAAGGTAAAAACAGACAGGACTAACCATCTGGTATTAAAGATGGCCGCCGGAGCTCCACGTTGCTCCGGCGGCGTGATGTCACGGCGTGATGTGGCTTCTCCTAGGAGTTACTTCAGGTTGAATGTAAAGGAGCTTTAAAGGTCGAGGACCATCTTTATCAATCCCATAACATCTAACCTGACGACCCACCATCTCTGAGAGGGAAGTCCATCTACATGATACCTGTCTGGTGACATCTGGATTATAACATAAGGCGCAATCATTATGTGTGTCCGGTGAGTGCGCATTACCATTACCACTACTGCACTGATACCAGGTCCCTCAGACCAGCCTACACTTTCTCTGGATCCAACACCTCCATTCATCTAACCACTGTTCCACCTGCTGCATCTGCACCCACTGCATCCAACACACAAACCACACATAACTCACCCTAACATACACAAATAAAACCAATATCCTCCTCCATTCACATTAATATATCCTACAACCTCAACTGTCTGTAAAATGAAACCTCAACGTCCTCCTACTTCTGACAACTTCAAATTCTTATACTCCCCATAGTTCTTTTTACCAATCTCAACATGTTCTAAATCCACATTAAATCCATTTTTAAAAATATAAGGACGTTTCCACATCTCCAAAGCATTTAGAAAAGGTGGGTGGTTGGAGCTGGAGTACTGCAGCCTGTGTAACCAGTCAGCTTTAGTCCTCATGCACACTGGACATTTTTACAACTGCTGTTTTTGGCTTTTTACGTTTTTTTTCTACAGTTTCTTTCTACCATGACCTTCTTATTCCACTGCTGTGTTTGTGGAATTATACTATCTTAAACCTTTTTTTTTTAATTTATGCTAGTAAACATGCTAGTAAACCCCCCAGCATGTTATCCTATGTGTCCATGCACACATAGACTGTAATCAACGTTTTTTGGCAGGGACTTTTTTGGCTGGAAAAAAAACCCAGGACTAGTGGTTTTCTAGAGGAGTTTTTTAGCTGTAAGAATGCTCTATTGCTGAAAAATATGGTAAAACACGGTGAAACATGGTAAAATGCTGCAAAAACAGACAAAAATAAATATTTTTTTGGGGCAAAAAAAAACTGCTAAATATCGCAAACGTGGAAAATCGCGGGAAAAGACAGAAAAACGCTGCTAGACACTAATGCAAAAAACGCTAAAAGAGGCTGAAAAACGCACCTTTTTAACGTGACTTTACACAGCTAACGTTACCAGCATTATCAAAACGTCCCGTGTGCATGAGGACTCAAACTTGCAGGCCAATGCAGAAATTTCCTCACACACAGGCTTTGGGGGTTGTAAAGAGAGAAACACTTGTAAAACAATAATGCAATATCTTAAGAAATAAAAGGCTCACTGCAACAAACATCAAAAGAACAATGCAGGAGATGCCTGACATTTCATTGCTTTCAAGTTCTTTGTAAGCTGGGCAGCACAGTGGCTAAATAGTTAGGACTTCCATCTAGCAGCGCTAGGGTCATTGGTTCAAATCCCAAACATGGCACTGTCTGCCTGTAGTTTGCATGTTCCCTGTACTTGTGTATGTTTCCCCCAGGTTCTCCAGTTTCCTCCCACACTGCAAAGACATGCCAGTTGGTTAATTGGTTCCTGTCTAAATTGGCCCTAGTATGTGTATGTATGAATGTGAGTTAGGAATCTGCTCCTTGAGGGCAGGGACTGATGTGTATGTACAATATATATGTGTAAAGTGCTGTGTAAATTGATTTTGCCACATTTTGTCTTTCCTGCGGCCTGAGGTCAAAACGTTCCTATCCTGAACGCGATTCTTTTGAGTTCAGAAGAGGAAGGATTAACCTCACCTAACCGCAGCAGCTCCTAAACTCTGCTAAAAGCCTATGTGTACATGGACACACAGGCTTTTATGGAGTTGAGTTTAGGAGCTTTGGCAAAAAAATGCCAAAAGCTCCTAAACTCGAGTTTAGCAGCTGCTCATGTACATGAGCCCTATTAATAAAAAACTGCTTGGAAAAAGAGTAAACCAATTATAAACACAATTAGATTTCTGGGGGGGGGCTGCAAATTAGTTTGGGAAATAATTTTAAGAACAGTAAAGCCTTGTGACCCTCACTGACTGTATGTACTGCATCAGTACACTCTGACTTAACCACTTCAAGTCCGGACACTTGAAGTGCTATCACATTTTGAATGACAATTGTGCGGTCATGCAACGCTGTACCCATATGAATTTTTTAGCATTTTTTTGAGACAGATAAAACTTTATTTTGGTAGTATTTATTCACCACTGGGATTTTTATTTTTTTGCTTTATAAATGAAAAAGTCCAAACATTTTGAAATAGAAAGTGTTTTTCTTCTAAAATTTTGCAAATAAAGATTATTTCTTCATAAATCTTGGCCAAAATGTATACAGCTATCTTTTAGTTAAAAAAAATAATAACCCAGATTAGTTTATAACCAAAAATTATAATTTTTCAAACTTTTTTTACATTTTTATTTTTTTTTTAATATTATTATTTATGTTTTTTAACATACTGTCACCCAGTACAGGGGGTGATGAAGATTTATTTTTTACCCATAAAGGCTGTAAAAGCAATCATTTCTCCTTCTCCTTCTCTCTGGCTGCATTCTTGCAGCCATTGAGAAATACTGTGAGAGCTGTGATTGATCACAGCTTGTCACATGGTACAGGGCTGTTGTGGATAGCCTTGTACCATGTGACCTCTGTGATCATTCACAGATTTCATACGTAGCAAGCAATGATGTCAGGAAGTGACATCTTGCTTATTACTATTCATGTGATCACTGATTGGCCAATCAGTGATCACATGATTGGGACCTCACAAAGAGGGTCCCATACAGCGAACGGTGTTCCACTGTGTCCGGAGGACACAAGAGGCACCGGATTGCGTAGCCATGCTTTCCCAGGGAGTGCGCACAGGCAGTGAATGCAGGGGCCGTTTATAAATGGCCAACCGCTCCTGCCCTGCTCCCGTCCGGCCGTTTATGTACATGGGCCAGAGGGGAAGTGTTTAAAGATGAACTGGGGGATAGACAAAAAAATCACCCATTAGTACACCACCCTACACAAAACAGGTAATCTATCTATCTATCCATTCAGTCATATCTGATCCTTGGCGATTGCATGGAATGTCACTCGTAAGCGACTTTTTCCATGAATTCTCTTTCAATTATTTTACAGGGTAGGTTGCCAGGTCTTTCCCCAACTGATCCCGCATGGGATGAACCTAGGTCAATTTAGACAGGAGCCAATTAACCTACCAGCATGTCTTTGGAGTGTGGGAGGAGACCTACACAAGCACAGGGAGAACATGCAAACTCCATGCAGGAGGCGCCATGGTTGGGATTTGAACCCATAACCCATTTACTGCACGGCAGACATGCTGACCACTAAGCCACTGTACCGCCCAAAACAGGTAATACATTTGTGAAATTCCTTATCATTGAAGAGAAAAGTCTAATTTAATTTTCAGGAAGTCATCTCTGTAATTCAAAAAATAACATCATCTGCTCTGCCAAGGAGGACAACAGGAAACTACATTTCCCATCAACCTCTGGCAATTGTAGTAAATGTGGGTGGGTACACTGCCATCCTCATATGTGATCACTCACCCTCCAGTCACAACAGAATAGGAACTAATTGCCCTGGCATTCTGTTTTTAAGCTCAGAATAAATATGGCCACATGCCTAGAATTACATTGTTTATCCACTGTTTTCTGCTGGAATAAAATATTAGAATTCTTCTTCCTTTTTTTTCTAACAGCCGCCGCTGCTTGTATGCTGCCATGTGATCACATCCCCGGCCGCAAGAGAACAGAAACCAAGCAGTGGGACACAAGGCTGCCATTCACACTAGGGCGTTTCAAATCAGGGATGGAATTGCTGCTATTCTTCCAGCAATTTGAAAACGTGCTGTGAAAATTT